CCCCAAAACCCCAAAACCCCAAAACCCCTAAGTTGATATTATTAATTGAATTTAGTCTAGCATGAAAAGTAAATAGGTTGCTTAACGGAGGGTCATTTGTAGGGACTGGAGCTGTTTCCTTCCCCTAAACAATCTAACCTGGCTCCTCTTGTTCTGGTCTAAAGTTTTGGAATGCTTATACACCCACCTGTTCAATCTCCTAAATGAGTTATAGAGCAATTGTTCCAAAAGAGTCGAAATACGAACTTCAAGCCAAAAAGTGTCTACTTCACCTCAAAAATTGGAACTCAAACAGTAAGAAGCATTTCAGTTTGGATTGATCTTTTAGAAAACACCCTCTGGGTATCCTAACTTGGGAAGAGCAAATAGCTGGTAGATATCGTTTTTTACCTCTAGATCTCTCCTCAGAAATAAGCTGAAGAACCAGATTATTTTGGTCAGGTTTGCAGATTTTATCAACTTATAAATTTTAGTCGAGGCAAGATGACCAATAAGAAGATACTGGCAAATAAAGCTCAGATTATAACCCCCAATGATTGTGGTGACCCACGGATTGGATGGCTAACTACGATCAGCTCTAAGAAATCTCTAAAAGTGCCTAGGTACAAGCCAACAATATTGTAAGTTTCCATAAGGATTTTAGAAACAATAAATTTCCATTAAGAAGTCAAGGGTTTCAAAAGGTAATTTATTTGATAAGATTTGATAGAATAAAAACATCCTGGAGCATAAGATATAGCTAATCAACAGAGTGCAGACACCAAAATTAGGCTTCTAAATGCAACTCCGCATGAAAAGAGTAGGCTAAACTCTGAAATTTCCTAGGTTTGCTCAAAAATAGAGTTGCTTATAACAAGATTGTCTTGGAAAGAGTTAATTTCGAAAAGAAGCGAAGAGGCACAAATATGTATCATAATAAATTATTTCTAGGAAGAAGTATCTACACGAGACTTGCATAGTCAGAAAGGATATAAAGAGAGCAAACTATTATATCCTAAATACTTCAGCAAGAAATTCACAATTTAAAGGCAAGATTTAACATTTATTTTATAGATATAACTAAAAACAGTCTTGATATCAAACCAATGGGTGTCAGCGAAAAACAGATTCAGAAAAGTTCTTATTATAGAAGTACTTCTCAAAGGCAGAAATTGGCTAGACGAGAACACTTATTACAGAGTTCTCATACATGTGGATCCCTCAAGATGGCAAATGGTATAGATTAATCAGGAACAAATCTTTAGAAAAATGAGCTCTAAACTCAGAAATTGAACATGAAATGAATCCTCCATTAGTAAGAGAATTTTTATTATTTTTAGAACAATTTCACAGCCAATTCTAGTGTCAAAAGTATGATTCTACCTTATATTTGTAGCAGAAAGAGATGAATATTATGCATATCCATCTGATGGAAAGAAAAATGAAGATTTCCTTACAAAGATTCACGAAGAGTAAGTTCTAAATTAACTGTAGGTTTAACAACAAGAAAGTGGCTCTCCAAAATGTAAAATCAAACAACTCAGATTTAGGAAATTAACCCCAGAGTAGTGAAGTCTGCATTCAGCAAATTCAGAAAATCTATTAATAAAGCAGGTGCAGAGAAAAGAAAACTCTCTAGTGAGGATACAGTATGAAATTAGAGATGATTTATAGCTCAAAAACAACTCATCTATGAAGAGGACAGTCTCTATTGAGCTTCCTTATGAGATAGATTTGAGTCACAAAAATGCCTTCCACCCAATGGACCAGCTTAAATCAAATACAAATTGTATTTTCAAAAATAAAGCGATTCTGCAAAGTAGGATAACTGTAAGAGAAAGGAATTAATATACAGAATTTTCCGATTAAGACTAAATCCCCTAAAAATGTTAAGAAATTGGACATGAAGGAAATCGTCAAGACCACAGAATTCAAATTTGAAATTGACAAGTAAATATTTTAAGTCACTCTTTATAGATCTAAAAAGAAAAGATATGTAAACAGGCCTTATTCAGGCAAACCAAGAAAACAGAATAACTCTGATAAAGAGAAGAATAGGCGAAGTCAGGACAATCTTCTAAAGGCAACTAAAAAGAGAGCGAAAAATCAAGCTTTTAATGGATCTTCCAAAGAAATAAAGTAAATTATATTTGTGTATCACTTAGACTATCATATTCAAACCAAGACAATGCTAATCGTTATCCTCAAGAGGAAAGACAAAAGGTAAATTGTTGCATATCTTTAGAACTGTGATATTTCTAGTGAGAAATCAAGCATGCAAGATCAGAGCTCAAGAACTTACAAAAGTTCCTCAATGTCGTCAGTACAAGACTACAAGTAATTTCCTACTAATGTATAGAAGATGCTCGACTCATTGAGTTGTATCTCCCCTTAAATTAGATGGAGCCGCTCCGAAGAAGACTATTCAAATCCGGATGGAATTTTAATTCTCATATATTTCATCAATAATTCTATATTAATGAGGGGTTTTGGGGTTTTGGGGTTTTGGGG